ACAAGTCTTCTGGCCTGGTAGCTAAGACTGGATGGTCACTGCCAAGCAAAAAAAAAACACTTCAAAACAAGAATTTCAGGATTTTTGTATATTTAGACAAAGTCTAATCCAGTTTTCAGAAAGTGTAATCAAGTTTTATCATTATATAGACTGACTTTATCCTATTCATAACCATGTGAAGGATTATTTAAAAATACTGACATTGCAATCCATACAATGATTCTTTCTGAAATATCCAATCTGTGGAATGACACAAACAATACAATTTCATCCTAGCCATTAACAGAATATTCAAGCAGGCCAGATGATGAAAGGCAGAAGAAATAATGTTAACAGTTGCAGGAGAATTCAAAGCACCCTTTTCTCTTTAAAAAAAAAAAAACCCTATTAAATGGAAATTAGAAGCATTTTATTTTCAGATGTCAAAACAGAGGATTAGAGGAAAATGAAATCACTACACTGGGTTATTTACAAGCTTCCAGGCTGGATTTTGGTCAATCACAGACATACAGCAAAACATTTCTCTCCTGCAAAAAAAATTAACTTCAACACAGCAACTTCACACACACAAGTCATGAAGAAAACAGCTTCCCTAGGATTACCTTCCAGTATCAGGGAAATTACAACATACAACTCATTTAAACAGCTTCAAAACAAGACATGCAGGCACATAAACCTCCCTCTCTTCCACACTTGCTCTTTATTGCCTCTCTGTCCCTGCAAACTGCATATAATAATAATAATTTGTCCAAAATTACAGCCTTTCAGAAAAAAAAACAACACCTCTGTCAATCTTTTGTGAGTAATTGTCTTTCCAAATAAACAGCCATGAACTATCCATCAGTTAAACAAACAAACCAACCCTTTGAACAGGGTTTGGAGCCTGCAGGATGGAGGAAGACCACAGCAGTTTTTACTTCATCACCCCTCCTCTGCAGAGCTCTACGGATGAAAAGGAAGAAATGGCTGTGAAGTTCACAGGAGTTAAAGGGAAGGAAAAGAAAGCCATGCTAGTTCAAGTCTCTTGTTTCCACACTCCAAACAAACGAAGTTTTCTGTAAGAAAGTAACAAGGAGTTTGTCAGCATGGCAATCAGTATCAGAATGAATAAAAAAGGAATAAAGTTATATTATTTAAATGACTGCCTGGGTGAAAAGCCCTGAGGATGGTGCAAAGGCAGAGGCAGCAGGACTGGATTGCCCATCAGAAAACCCCTGGTGAGTTAACAAAGCACAACCCAGTCCCTGCACACGAACACTGTGCTCACAACTACATCTGGAATGGAAGAGGAACAAAACCACCTGGATACAGCCTCATCATTAGCAAAATAAATAAATATCATCCGAATAAAAATGAGGTTACCACAAGCTCCACTTAACAATGGCTCAATGTTCTGCACAGGCATGAAAAGGTTTACTGACTCTTTGAAATTAAATACTGTCCTAACAACGCCTGACAACATCCTCTGTTTGGAACTAACAGGAAAAAGTTAATACTCAATTACAAGATCCACACAGGTAGTGACCAAGAGCTTGAAAACATAATACAGCATTTCAAAAGATGCAGCAAAAGATAAATATTTATTTTGGAAGTTTCAATGGCAGGAGATCAAGTTTTTTCAGGAGCCTGGTCTCCACCTAAAACAGTATTGCACAACTACAAACAGAGCTGAGGACAGACTTAGTGGGAATCCTGATGGGTTAAGGACAGGCTGCACAGTCCCAGCTGGAATTTAAACCACATTTCTGCTAATAAAGCCAGCCTGAGAGCTCCACCTCCCCTTCTTCCCCTTTTCTGTTTCCCATGTTCCACCAGCCTTCAAACTAATCCACAGGAGTTATCTGTCCACAGTTCTCAAAGACGCTGGGAAATGTCATGCATGCAGGGCTGCAGAAATTCAGTGTTTTCCTTTATTTAGAGAGTCTGGAATGGGAAAATACTGGGCTAATCACAATGTTTGTTTTTCCCCAGCCAGTAGCTGGGAAGATCTCCCTGGCTGTAGCATTTGGGAAGGATGTAAAGGAGAATTTGGGAAGGAAACTGTGGCCACCAAAGGGAAAAGTCTGACAAAAAAAGACATTTACCAAATCCTGTATCCCATGTAACAACTAAATCCTCAAGTAAAAAAGTTCATTTTCTTTCCTTCTTTCCAGTACAACAACCACCCTTGATAATTTATTGGAACTCCAGTAAACTTTTCAGTAATATTACAAAACAAATCAACACAACCACTCACAGTTTTAATGTCCCTGCAAAGAAAACAATCATTCCCACTGGAAAAATCTGTGTTGTCAGCACATGGTTCATGCAGGAGGTTGCCAGTACAAACGCCTCAGTTCCTGATCAATTGTAAAAGCACACTAAGCAGGGAAGTGCCCTCACACCTGAAGGGAAACCCATGTCTGTGCCCATCCCACTGGCTTTGGTGCAAAGATAAAGAGATGCAGCACATTTTTTTGGCAATCTAATGAAAAACATGAATTTGACTGAGATCTCTACTCAGCATCCTTGTGAAGCCAACACTGGGAATCCTGGGACTGAAGCACAAGGTAAAGCAGGTTCTCTTTCTTCTGTTGCCGCTTTAGGGTGGAAGAAAACACCCAACCAAAACAAAAGGCCTCCCGCAGAGTCAGGAGTGAAGGTGACAGACACCGGGCTAAGTGCTACACGCACACCTGAGGGATCTGGGCAAGCTGGGAGAGTGGCCCATGGCAATCCCATGAGGTTTAACAAGAGCAGGTGCTGGTGCTGCACATGGGCCAGGACAATCCCCAAGCTCTGTCCAGGCTGAGGGATGAAGAGATGGGGAGCAGCCCCAGGGAGAAGGACCTGGGGGTGCTGGTGGCTGAGAGCTGGACATGAGCCAGCCCAGAAACTCCCTGTGCTGATCCCCCAGTGTGGGCAGCAGGAAAGGGGGATCCTGACCCTCTCCCACAGCACAGCAAGGACCTGGAGCTGCTGGAGCCAGGCCAAAAGAGGCACCAGGATGATCAGAGGGATGGAGCAGCTCTGCTGGGAGGAAAGGCTGAGAGAATTGGGATTGTTCAGCCTGGAAAAAAGAAGGTTTTGGGGTGACCTCATTGCAGCCTTCCAGTACCTGAAGGGAGCTGGCAGGAAAGAGGGAAAGAAACTGTTTGCAAGGGCCTGGAGAGAGACAGGACAAAGGGGAATGGCTTCCCAATGACAGAGGAAGGATATGGGTGGATAATGGGAAAAAATTCTTCCCTGTGAGGGTGGTGAGGCCCTGGAACAGATTTCCCAGAGCAGCTGTGGCTGTCCCATCCCTGGAAGTGCCCAAGGCCAGGTTGGACACTGGGGCTTGGAGCAGCCTGGGACAGCTGAAGGTGTCCCTGCCCATGGCAGGGGTGGGACTGAGTGAGTTTTAAGGTCCCTTCCAGCACAAACCAGCCTGAGATTGTGTGAAATCAACCCTGTATCCACTTCTTTCAGCCTCCAGGGCAGAGGATGTACAGGATTCTGACATGTACAGCTGCAGTGTGGAACAAGTTCTTGTTTATAATTTGGCATACTTAATATTTTATGATAAAGCAACCAATGCTATGGAAACATAAACACATCCAGATATGTTTGTCAGACAAACCTGAATAGAATTTCATAAGGAAAAACACTGCTCTGGAGCACTTGACACTTTTCAAAGGTCTGTTATAAACAATGGAAGTTTCAGTTTACTTAGAATTATTAAACATCTTTTCTAATGGAAAAGTATTAGGCAACTAAAACCCCCGAGTTCCTCCTCATCAGCTTCCAAGCACAAGGCCACTGCAGCAACAAGAAATAAACATTCACATTTCCCAGCTATTATTTATGGTTCTAAAAGAGACATCTGCACCAACAGGGAACGAATATCTTCTGTGTCAGACACTGCATTTCTTGCTTTACACACGGCATTTGAAGATTTGGCTTTGTAAACACATTTTGTGAAGCCAAAAGCTCTGCCCGGTGTCGCTTTGCAGCCGGTCACAGAGCGAGCACGGCGCTGCCACCACCACCCCTAAAACTCACAGTATTCGGTGGAACCATTCAAACCAGTGAATGTTTTGCCGCAGAAAACCGAGGCACGTGCATAACTCTTACTCTACGGGAAAATAAATACGGAAAAACCCAACAGACCCGTTCTGCTAGTCGATGAAAAAAAGAAGAGCTCCAGGGCTGGGACACGGACGGCGCTTCTCAATGTCACACACTCCACACGCGGTACCGAGTGACACGTGCCAAAGCCCTCAGCGTGTCACGCTGCCAACTGCTTTTAATAAACGCAGCCCCCCTGGCACACGGAGTGATGTGAACAGCTCTGCACACACCGATTTCAAACCCACCGCCGCAGCAAAGCCGAAGGCGGACGAGGTCGTGGCACGCCAGGAGCCGGTTGTGCCGCTCATTCAATCCTCCCAGATTTCATACGGAGCCCAGATTTCCCACGGAAAACTCTTCCCTTCAGCACAGGGAGTAACCAGAGGCCAAACACGCCCGGACCGCGGTAAGCCGGGGCCGGGCCGGGGCGCAGAGCTGGGAGCGGGCCCGGCGGGGGTCCGAGCCCGCGGCCAAGGTCACCTTGCCAGGCCCGGGGCCGCCGGCTTTACCCGACGCCGGGGGCAGCCATGAGGGCGGATCCTCCGGACACCCTGAGCCCCTCCCGGGCTCACAACCGCTCTGAGGAGAACCTGGGACGACTGGGGACGGTGGGCCCCGCGCCGCGGGGAAACGCCGGCGGTCGCTCTCCCAGGTTCGGGGAGCCCGGGGGACCACCACCGCTCTTCCCCGGGCCCTCCCGCTCCGCCGTGCCCATGCCGCCCTTACCCAGCTTGACGGCGGAGTCCGCCACACACCGGTCCCACTTCCTGCCCAGGTCGCCCTCCGACGCCATCTTGCCCGTCCCCTCACCTCCTCCCCCGCGCAACTCTCGCGAGACCAGGTGCTCCACCTATCGCCCGCGCCGGCAGGTCTCGCGAGATTTCGCCGTCGTTGCCAAGGTAACCGACGGGCGGGCGTCATGGCCGCCGCGCCCGACCTTGGGCCCAGCCCAAAATCCCCTTTTTCCTCATAGGATCCGGCCCAAAACGCCGTTTTCCCCCGTAAGACCGGGCTCGCCACGTCCCCAGCCCGTCCCGGGCTCCATCTCTCCGTCTAGAGCTCCCGCTGTGTCCTTGTTTGCCCTCGTCTCCCTCAGCCTATGGCAGCATCCCTACCTCCTCGCAGGCGCCCGGGTTGGGCCCGCGCCCGCCGCCCCCCTGCCCGCAGGGCTCTCGCCTCATCCATGGTAAGAGCCGAGCTGTGCTGCAGGGCCAAGCTTCTCACTGCAGCCTTGGGTACATCACTGGACACTCACTGTCGTGTAGGTTTTCCTTGGCAATGGTCCTGCATCCTACACAGCTCCTGCAGCAGCTCTGGAGGGAGAACATTCCGTGAGGGGGGCAGAGCGCTGGAACAGGTGCCCAGGGAGGGCTTGGAGTCTCCCTGGCTGGAGACATTCCAAACCCACCTGGATGCATTCCTGTGTCACCTTCTCCAGGTGTCCCTGCCTTGGCAGGGAGGTTAAAACGAATGATTTCCAGAAAGCCCTTCCAACCCTAATAATTCTGTGTTTTTTACTGTCTGGCCTCAGCTGCTCTTCAGGGCCTGAAATGAGATACAGGTATGTGACAGCTCTTGTTAATCCCTATCAATATCCCAGGAATCACCTCATTTTAAGAGCAGCCTGGGCCCCCCCACACTCTTGTTTATTTGAGAGAAGGAGCCGAATAATCTCAGCAAGATCATTCTGTCACATTCAAGAAGTTAATCCACACAATAGGCTGACAGTGAGAATCACAGAATTGCAGAATGCTTTGGGTTGGGAGGAGTATTAAAGTTCATTCAGTTCCACTCCCTGCCGTGGGCAGGGACACCTTCCCCTATCCCAGGTTGTTCCAAGCCTAATCCAGCCTGGATTTGGGCACTTCCAGGGATCCAGGGGCAGCCACAGCTTTTCTGGGCACCTGTGCCAGGGCCTGCCCACCTTCACAGGGAAGGATTTCACTCTTGTACATATACATATATATTTCCTAATTTTAGAGGTTGTGGGAAGGGTTCCCACTGACTTCTGGGGTTTCAGCCCATCCTGCAGCGTGCTGCAGCTTTGTGGAGCCAGCAAGTAACTGTGAATATCTCCAAAACTACTATAATGAATTTTGTGTTGCAAATGGTGTGTAGGCTGCCTGGAAGGCATTCTCCAGAAGCCTTGAAGAAAAAAAACCCCAGGGCGTTTGTCAAGTACTAATGTCCTCGTTCACACTGTGAGGCAATTTTTAGCTGTGATTACTTGTTTTGATTTCTTCAAGTTCTGGCAATTTTCTTTATCGAGGTGGAGGAGGCTCTGCTGCTTCATAAAACTGGAAGTTCTTTCACAAGTCAGTTACTAAAGGCATAAACAGAAGTGCAAAATTCTTGAAGTTGGCAAAAGTTTCATTAAGTTATTGTTGGTTTAAGTCTTTCATTTATTTTAAAAGTTCAACTGGTTTTGATCTAGAGTCACGATGAAGATTTTTAATTGGTTTGGTTCAACTCCTTCACATATCACAATCACAATTAACCATTATTTTCTCTTCCTTATAAAATCTAAATGGCTTTTAAAAACTTATCTTAAAAGGCACATGGTTAAACTGAACCCCTGAAGGTTCAAGAGGTTTCCCTGGAGAAGGCAGCCCTTATTCTGTAAGGGGATCTTCCTTTTCTCTTCCTCCCCCTGCAATTTGCTCAAATCAGTCTGCATTGCTGCATAGTTGGTATCCAAAATAGAACCACGCATCGAGTTACTTATAAAAATACCAACATGATCCAGCAGTTTTTTCCCTGAGTAGCTACAGAAGAGCTTTTCTGAAACCGCTGCCCCAGCGGTGCCAGCCCCACCCTCCCATTTCCAAACAGCTCTGGAAAATATCAAGAGGGGAAAAAAGATAACTTGAAGCCTCCAAAATAATTCTTTCATTTTTATCCCAAAAAAAATTAAATTCCAGAAGGCAGTGTTTAAAACCAACCCAGAAATGTGGTCTTCTGTTGGCAAAAACGTATGCTGAGTGCAGGCCAGTGTAGTCTCACTTCACACTTACTCATTTTCAGGCTGTTGGGCTCCCTGGAAAACGCTGTTTTTTGGGATGGAGGAAGCAGTGGTGAGCAGCTGGATTGTGAGGCACTTCATAAAGGGTTGTGTGGCTGCCTCTCAATGTATCCTGACAGCCTCACCTCAGGACCTGGTGCATTAAACCCTTTCCAAGGGGATGGAATAGTTCAGGGTAATTGTTTTGAACGTTCAGCTTCCTTTGGAGAAATCACTGCTGCTTTTAAATCCCAGAGTCACTGAGTGATCAGAGGAGGGCTCTGGAAAACGTTATCCATTAAGGATCTAGAGCACATTCTCTGTACCCCTTCCCCACCCCAGGGAAAAATGAAGGCAGGAGGGAATGTGTCCAAAGACAGGCTTTTCTCTCCATTGCTATAGTTACTTGGCAGTTAGACCCTCGCAGTGTAATATCAAGTATTTATTATTGTGGGACTCCAAGGTGATGTTTAGAACATGCAGTTTTGAAAAAGCTTTTTTTGGTTTTTTTTTTTTGCATTTTACAGCCCAGCATGTGCTATCCCAGGATTCCTTCCCTCCCTTCTCCCCTCGTGCTCTCCTCTCCTTTCTTTTCCAGTAAATAAGTGTATGAATAAATGGAGGAAATGAAGCCAGAAAGCTTCAAAATGAGCCCTGTATTTCTCTGGTGGAAGTCAGCTTCTAGTTGAAGTAGGTTCAGACCTCGTGTCCCCGGTTTTGTTAACAATATCCCTGACTGAGCTGTGTGTGGAATTAAGCACTGCTCACTAGGAGTTAGACACTGCTTAGGTTTTCAGCAGAAAGCCATCAGATAGGGCAGAGGCAGGACTGGGGATCTCAGGTGAATAATAATTATTATTTTTCAAAATTGCTGCTTCCCTGGTGTCTAGTGGAAGATCCAATGCTGGCTCCAGTTCTGGGAGCCTCACCACAAGAAGATGGGGCTGGAGAGTGTCCAGGGAAAGGAATGGAGCTGGAGAAGGGTTTGGAGCACCAGGAGAGGCTGAGGGAGCTGGGAAGGGGCTCAGCCTGGAGAAAAGGAGGCTCAGGGGGAATTTCTGGCTCTGCACAACTCCCTGACAGGAGGGGACAGCCAGGGGATTGGGATTTCTCCCAGGGAACAGGGACAGGAGGAGAGGGAACGGCCTCAGGCTGGGCCAGGGGAGGCTCAGGGTGGACAGCAGCAGGAATTTGCCCATGGAAAGGGAGCTCAGGCCTTGGAAGGGGCTGCCTGGGGAGGTTTGGAGTCCCCATCCCTGGAGGTGTCCCAGGAAGGGCTGGATGTGGCACTCAGTGCTGGTGACAAGGTGGGGATTGGTCACAGCTTGGGCTGGGAGGGCTTTTCCAAGGATTCTATGATTCCATAGCTGCACCTGGGGGTGAGGAGCTCCTCTGGAACTGCACCAGCCAGAATTCAAACCCTTTTCAAGAGAACAGCCTTCCTTCCAACTGTTACCTCTGGCTTGTCCATAGAGCAGGATGACTTATGGCTCAAAAGTTCCCAGCAAGTTTTGTTGGTTTTTTTTAAATCTTGAACCTTCCCCAGCATGAGAATATCACCTCTTACCCTATTTTTTCAAAGAGTCCTAAAGCATCCCTTGTGTAATTTCCCCACTGGATACTGATACACTCTCGCTCTCCTCTTTTCCAAATACACATGCAGCTTCTCCCATAGATTTAAATAACATGAATCACCTCCCACACATATATTTTTAATTTGTTTTTCTGCCAAGATCTGCACAGGAAGGCAGCAGTGTAGGAGTTATCTGCTTGTAATGGTTGACACAGCCTCGGTGTGGGCCCCCACTCCCTGTTTCCTGTACTTCCAGAACGATTCTTTCACCTTACAGAGAGCTCAAGACCTGGCTGGGAACCTCCAACTCTCCACTCAGGTGTGTTGGGTTTTTCCTCCAAACATAAGCCACCTTCACCAACAGACACTGATGCTTCTTTCTCCCTTTGAAAACCTTTTAGCTATCCAAGCAACAAAAAAAGCTCTGAGGAGAAAGAAACCCCTCCTCAGCAGGATTTTGCCCTGAAATGGGAAAAGCGCCAGCGACTCCATTAAGCCTCCTGTGCTGTCCTTATTGATTTTCTGTGGACAGCAGTCGGATGCTGTGGGGTGAACAATCCTCTGAGGCTGGCCTGACTTGCATTAGGAGGGACAGCTTGTGCTGCAGTCAAACATCCCCCAGGCTTTCCATGGGGGAATCACATCCACGTTAATTAGCACGTTCTGGGCCCGTGCTGATGGATTTCCACGCCACTTTGGTTGGATTCAGCGCGTGGTGCTGCTGCTTCCAGCTGTCAGGTATGGCTGGTTGAAGCAGAACTTGGAAAAATGGTACAAAATGTGTCACAGCTCACTGTGCTAACTCTACTCTAAGCTGCTTTTGCCATGGACATGAAGTTTGCCCCAAAAATCTCAGCAGGAAAGCACTTGCATGGAAACACTGACCTGAGTTTTTGCCAGCTCTGAAACTCCAGGCAAAAGCAATGCTCTGACATTCCATGTCTTTATTTTCTGTGTACTATTTCATGATCATTTTTTAGAATAGCAGAGAGAAAAAAAACCTCCTTGTGCTGTATTGATGAGGTTTTCTAAGGAATAAGCCCATAAAAAAGTGCTATTTTTCAGCCTTTTAGTATGTTTTTCCATTCGTCCATGTCTCTGGCTAATTCTATACAGATTCTAACTACTGAACCGTGACCATTGTATTAAGAAAGAATCCAGGCAGGCCCTTACAATTCTTTTGGCTGGTATATTAGCAGGCTTCAAATGAAGTGCAACGTGTCAAGGAAAAAGTAAGGGAATGGAAATTTTTGTTTCTTTCTGCTGTATTTAATCAGCTTTCTCCTTGACTTTTTTTTTTTTAATGACAAGCCACAGACATTATTGCTAGTTAATGACCAAGTTTGACTAGAATCCTCAATACTCTTCAGGCTGAAGGCAGCTCCTGTGTCTCAAGTTTTCTGAGCTGAAAAGACAAAGTTCAAGGAGCAGCTGCAAGAAGAGGAATAAACTGTGTCCTAAGATATGCAGCTAAATGTGCTGGAACACAGGGGATCCTAACATTCCTGCAGTGTATGGACATCTTGGGCTGCTGCTGGGTTTATTCTTTCCTTTAACCAAAGGAGCAGAAAAGTCTGGTTCAATATTCTCAGTTCAGGGAGGGCAATGCCTC